GCGTGAGGGCGGGGTGCGGAGGCCGCGGCCTTCCCTCCGCTCAAGCAACCCCTTCCCCCGGTGCCTCGGGGCCGCGGGCAGGGCGGCGTCGGGCCCCGCTACGGAAGAACCGCCGTGGGTGCTCAGGTCGGTAGCGAAGATGTCGGCGCCCACGATGGAGGAGAGGAAGGCCTGCTGGGGAGCCCGGGACGAGTTCTGGCAGTGCTTGGACAGGCACGCGGACGACGCCTCCAAGTGCGAGAAGCTGCGGCTGTCCTTCGAGTCCCGCTGTCCCCAGCAGTGGGTGAGTGAGCAGCCGTGCGCACCGAACCCAGCGGCTCTGCGCACCCTACCAGCAGCAGCAGCAACACGTCCTTCGTTAGGTTTTTACCTCGTTAATGATGGCAACTCCCGCTTCTGGGGTTGGTGTCCCGGCCCAGCGCAGGGGGGGTGGGTTGGAACTAGATGATCTTTAAGGTCTTTTCCAACCCAAGCCGTTCTGTGGTTGCAGAACGTGCGTGGTCTTACACTTTCTCGTTGATAACCCAGCGCTGTTGTCAAATGTAACGTGGTTTGCACACTTATAGTCTTGCTGGGAAATTAAAACCCCTGAGCGGACCATTGACTGGCCTGGGAACTATTGACAGTAGTATAAAGTATACAGTATGGAGGGAAAAGAAAATACGCTCTCAAACTTTCAGATACATATGCAACTATACAAGCATACAGGCTTGCTCTCTAATAAAAAAAACGTTCTGAAAGATACTCAGGAACTCTTAGAAGTGCACAGAAGTTACTGCTATTAGAGAAGGCCAGTACAGAAGGGAGGTGACTCACAGGGCTTGCAGTTACATGACAAGACTGGCATCTGATACCTTCTTGTGCATAAGAATACCTTTCTTTATGCAGTATAATGTCACAGTAAACCATCTGCCTGCATGTAATTCATTCATTTGCGCTTTTTAGTTTCCTAAGACCAAGCTGCAATTCTCAACTTTTTTAATAGGCATTGCCTTTTAGTAACAGTAGTGTCTGAAGGGCTGAACAGTTCCTGTTGGAGTTAGTAGAGTGAAGTCAGTTAAAAAAACAGGTACATTCACAGTTGCTGTACTGACTTATACTTTGAATGCTGTAGTTCTGCATATGTCATCTCTAGTGATGGTGATTTCATCTGCCAGTGCTTTGCACCATACACATCAGTGCCTCTAGGCGATGAATTCAGAGGTCACATAGTCTGTAATACCATAGAAAAGCTGCTGGACTTATCTTTGTATGACAAATAATCTTTGTTTATAGCAGTGAAAATACCAAAGCAATAGACTACTTTTATTAACTTTCCATGGAAATAATGGGGTGGTTATGACAGAAACTTTAATTCACTTACAGAATGGTAAAAAAACCCACTCCACCCTTTGGCCTTCTGCTTCAAGAGAGCAAGAAACTCCTAACTAGTGGACCGAGTTAAAATCCTCAAGTTCAGAAATCAAAGATTGTTTATTCTTTATCTTGTTGTGATGCACAAAGCACCTTCCCCTGCTAGTTTCTTCTGATGAACATATTTTCTCTTTTTAAACAGGTTAAATATTTTGACAAAAGAAGAGACTTTTTAAAATATAAAAAAAAGCTTGAAACAGAAGGGTATCATCCTCCAGAAGCTGCTGGAAAGTCTTAGGTAGTCTGCTTTCAAGATCAATCTAGAGAGAATAACTATGGAATAAAGAAGCACGAGAAAGCGACAGAAGCTACTTGAGCTCAAGGACCGGTAACCTGACTGTCTCTCTGAAATGCGGGCTGCTGTTCTCGTTACAGGGTCTCCTCTGCCTGCTGAAAAAAGGTGGTCATGGACAGCTTTTTCATGAATATAAGTCAAAGAAATATGGTGCAGGGCTGCTCACAAATCTAAGGTTTTGAATGTATAATTAGTCAAATTGTTTCACCAGAATAAATGATTATTTAATAGCGTAATGTACATATTCAAAAGAGAACAATAAAATTGTTTTTCAATAAGTGAACCAGCTTTTCCTTAAAAAAAAATCCATTCTACCCTCCCTTCCTTGTCAAAAGGAGGTGGTGGTATAGCATAATTTGTATTTGTGGTTTACAGTTTTAAGTCAGACATCAGTTTATAAACCAGCAGGCATTAGAAGACCTAATGCATCCTGTGCAATGATACGTATTTTACATATTTTGAGTATACTCATTTTTTATAAGCCATAGGAATTTTTCCATTAGCAATACTGCTTGAAAACTGTTATGGCTATTAGAAGTATGACAGTTATTTATCATCATTCTCACATTACAGTCTTTTGTATAATTTAGTGGTTTTGATTACCTTACTGATGCAACTTCATTTAAATATACAGACTGTTTGCAGCAGTATTAGTAAATTTGACCATATAAGGCATTTAAACAAGGGGCAGCCTCTAAGTAATAATATAAGTAAATTTACCTTGCAAAAATTCTATAATCTAGTATATCTAGATGCTGGAGGCATTAAGTACTTTGGCTACAGTAAGTTTTGATTGTGCTTGTAGAAAGGCACCACTTCAATTTCAAGCGTGGTCATCACAATCGAAGTAACTGCAGTAAAAAATCTCACGTTTTGAGGTTGAGATTGTTCATAGTACTATGTTGATGTTCTAACAGTGGAAAAATCATACACACCACATACAATATAAATAGTATTTATTTCCAATGCAACAGTTTTATTTAAGGAGGTAAAGTATTAATAAGGCATTTAAAAATCAGTCTGAACTACAAGAGAGCAAAACATGCAAAACTTAAAAATCCTCATTCACCCTGAGTTTGTATTTCATCTATTCAGAATTTCCTGTTGTAGCACCATAGGAAGTCACCCAGCTGTACTATAAGGCACAAAACTCTCGGCGGTTATTTTTGTTGTTTTTGCTTGATCACTTGTTGCCTTGTGTACTCCCAAATCAGCAGAGCTCCACTAACATGAACATTGAGTGATCGAATAATACCCTGCTGAGGAATTTCCACACAGACATCCAGGTGGTGAATCAGGTTTGCTGGGATTCCTTCATGTTCATTTCTAGTAAAGAAGAAACAGTAACTTATACCTGGGAAAAGACAGGTGTTCTAGAAAGCAGAAGATAAAGTCACAACAGCATCAAAACACCATTTGACAAATTGTGCGTCTGCCCTCAGTAAAACTGATGAGGACAAGAAATGTATTTTTTTTTTAAAGCAGTAATACATTACAGATACAAAGAAAACATGGGAGATGACTAAGCTTTGATGTAGGAATGGGTAGAGCACTTCGTCTTTAATTCACCGGTCCAGCCATAGCTGAACACCCAACATAAGGACTCTCTGCCTTTATTTTTAAGCTATCCATATATAGCAAAATAAATAGCTATAGATGAAATGTCCAGAGCATGAAGCTGCTGGCACAGCAGGGAAGCTCAGCTGCCCATTTGACATTCAGTGAGGTCTTGGTCTGAGGGAATGTCAAGACTGATCAAAGCCTTGAGCTAGGAATGTTTCACCTCTTCAGAATGAGCACACCAGAAGATACCAAAGGTTTCCAGCAATTAAAAACTATGTTTTTATTTAGAAGGGAACAAAGTAATCTGATTATGGGAACTACATTCTGAAGACAAGCTATATATTAAAAAGGTATTTCTGCCCACTTTGTCCTAGGATAGACAGGCCCTTCCTCCTGGTCTCGCTCAGTGGCCCTGCAATGCCAGTAGCTTTCTGACTTGTAGGCACTTTCCTCTGAATTTCTTGAAGTAGCCTCCCCTTTGTCACATCTGAGGCTTGCCCGCTTATAGGAACCGATTACTACTTTTCTCTAAAGTCCTCCCAGCCTCTGCTTGTACTGCAAAAACTCATTACTTCGTCCTGTACCTCACCCTTAATTTTCAAAGCATCTCCCAGCTATGCACACTCCCACTCCACTCCAGTCCTCCTTACCATATTAAGAAATGCAAACAGGCAGCCCTCCTTCCTCAGCGCACTACAGCCTACACATACAGCGCCCCATATTGCTGAAGTGAACAGATGATATCTCCGTCACACCTGGAAAACTATAATCCATGCTTTTGCTACCTCCACCCATAAAAAATGGAGTTACAGTGTACGGATAGGTTATTAAGTATGAGGAGAAGGATCATGCAGTTGGATATACCTCCCACTCCTTAGCACACAAAGTCAAGCTCTGCTGTTTCCATAATCACTTCCCATTCTAAATCCACCTTTACCAGCGTCACTTGGGTTTCTACTAGTCAGAGTTTGGTCATATTAAAGGATGGACTGCAAGAGGTAGACGTACAAAAAAGTGTGTGTTCTTACCCCAGCAATAATAGTGACTTCTCTGGGAAACAATATTCTGTAAGATCAAAACTTTTAGCTGTCTGCTCCACACCAATAATAGTGTAGCCTTCCGTTTTTTTCTGCTGTAAATAATCAACAAGCTGAGATGGTTTCACCTGTCCATCAAAAGTAGAGAGAAAAATACAAGTATTTGAATACTGCCATTTGTAAACTTCTGAAGTTACTGTAAAAATCAATTTACTTGGATAGTTTTTAAGACAAATGACCTCTATCCCCAAAGACTCTGTCCATATACATAGATTACCATTTTAAAAGATCTTCAGCAATAGCACAAAAGGTTAAGTAACGCCACAAAAATCGTACTCCACTAAGACAATAAACAAAGGCTTTTCTATGCTTCTGACAGCTACAAACCTTACATCTGAATGTAAAAGAATCACTCTTGCATAGGGACAAGGTGCACAGTTGTTATTTAACCTGAAATCCCTTCCCAAAACAATAGAACAGCCAGTATTGAAGCTGAGTTGCCTTACATGCCCGCATTACAACTTGAGATAGCTTGCAGTGAAGAATTTCTTGGTTGTCTTCATCCTACTCTCTAAACTGCGTATTTGTATTAAATGCCAATTTCTTCATGCAACACAAACTCTATCATCAGTACACTTCTGTACAGAAATTAGGAATGACAACATGTGTCCATCAGCATTCTGCTTTAAGCAAAACACACTACAGCTATCTTATTTTCAGCCTACAAAAAATTTTTCTTCAGAACAAACACTGAAAAAAACCAAAAAATTTGCACTGAATTTTTCAGATGATTTAAACAAAGTTGATCTTGAAAAGCAGATTATTATGAAGTATCACAAACATATTTTCTACTAAATACTAAACATATAGGTTGAAACCCTCATTTTTGTAAGCTAGCTAAGAGGTTGTAAAAGCTTGGCACAAGTTAGCTTCAGGCAAACTCAAAGATTATCCCCATGAAGTTACCAAAAGCAATGGACCAAGCAAGATAAATGAAGTGTTGTTCAACTTCTAGAAATAAACATTAAGTTCCAACACATCACTATAGAACACAGAGTAAGATTTAACAATGACAGCTCACACAATCAGTTTATCACAGCAATAAGAAATTAAAAGTATTTTTTAAAATCTTTTTTTATGGGGTTGATCCAAAGTTTATTCCAAAATGCTCAAGATTAAGTCTCAGAGATAACAGCAGGAGCTTCTGTTAAATAAAAAGTTCATTTTGTAAGAGAAAAAAAGTAAGACTGAACTATGCATCTGATGAACCGAAGATGCAAGTACACTTTCTAGCTATTAAAGTATTTCTATTTACCTCAACAAGGGGGAGCCACTGCTCTGCGGAAACACTAAGATGCTGAAACTGCTTATCCTGTATATAATGAAGACTGCCAATAACTAATGCAGATGCCCCAAATATCTCACTTGTACGACATAAACCTACAAACAGAAGAATTAAAGTGATTTTTGTGTAGAAAATAAAACACCAAGCCAGAACATTTTAGCAAGTGAAAAAGGGCAAAAAATCTGAAAGAGAAATGGTTACTTCAGACCTTTACTTTTAATCAGTTTCAGGTGCTTCTTAAAGCTGTTCCAAGTCACACCTTGCTCCATATAATTTACCAGAAAAAAAAAATGTTTTGTAAGTTAGCACAAAGGTAAAAATTAGGAAAGCACTATGCCTGACAACGTGCTTCTACATTACTAATTACACAAAGTAATGGGTCAGTGTAAAAACCTAGGCAGGGATGGAGGACACATATACACATGCTTAAGGTCTACATCCAGTAGCTGTTAAATGAAAGGTTTGAGAGAATGACACATTACAGCATTACAGTGCAGACAGCACCAGCTTGTGGGCTTATTTTTCATTAATAGTCTCACTGCAGTTATTTAAACTGCTGACAACTGCAAGCACAATGGAATAAAGTATTCACAGGATTTATTATAGCACAGTTTTCACAATATTGTGAAGGAGTACTTCATCAGGAAGAGGCACTTTCCTGTCCAACGATCACGAGAAACTTGTAAGTCGACAACATTTGGTTTAATCGTTACAGAAAAAAAGCCCATAAAAGCTAATTATTTCCTTTAACTGCATACACAGTTAAAAAATTCAGCTGTAACAAAGAATATAAAAAACAGTAAGAAACTGAGCATGATTTACAGCAAAGTTCTATTTATGTAATGCACGCTATGTGTAAGTACTTTTTTTTTTTTTCTTTCCTTAAAATATAACTATAGAAGACTCCTTCTGAAGCAGGTAATATTTCTTTTGGTTACCGCTTTTTGCAGGATAATGATCTATTTCTCTAAGCAGTACTTAAATAACTTTCTAATTAT